CAGTGATTTGTAAATTGTTGTTGTTTAAAGTTTGTACCAGCTGGACCGACTCAGCTGGTTAATAAATCTTCATATGTTCTTAGCTGTGCTTTATAGTAGCCCTGGAGCTTAACATGACTTTATCCTTGTTAAGTGTTAAAGAAACAAAACAAAACTTGTCTTTCACTTCCCCTCACTGCTTTACCACATTACTTTCTACTGGACCCCTGAAAGTTCCTTGAATTTACAGTGACTCACCTGCAGAACCGTTGAATCTGTACCAAGTCATCATTTCTCTATTTCACTTCTGAAGAGATAAAAGCAATCCAGCTCTGCAGGGTGTCCTTTTTTAATAATTTTTTTATTTTCTTTTTTACCTTTTACGTAATAAATTTCAACTTATTTATTACTAAATAGAAGAACTTTGCCACCAGCAGCTCCAGTCTTTTTCTTAAATTGGATCTTTTGAAACTGCTTCTTATGGGTCTAGCAGGTACTTTCACTACACTAAGGGGATTCACACTAGGAGCTGAAACCTTAAATCAAGGAAATGCTTTTCAGTTCATGTTCTGTTGAAAGTTAACTTTTTGACTTTTGCATTGGAACTCTTATTTGTTCTGCAGTGTCATTTACTGTCTTTATGCTACAGTCCTTTCAGAATAAGGCACTTCTGGATTTCTAACATACCAAACAGCCAAGGACGCTGGTCCTCTGCTACTTATTGCTTGTTTCAGTCTCGCATTGAACCTGAGAAAACGTGAGCACAGCAAACTCCAATCTTTCAAGCACACACACTTCATCAACAAATCAAATCTGTTTATGTGTAGGATAATGAGTCACATTGCCACCACTCCCTTTGGTCCCCTCCTTTTTACGGTTCTGTTATCATTCTTACCTCCGATAGAGAAGTTACTCATTTCCTCCTCCCATTTAGACGAGGCATCTCCGTGAGGAGGCGGGCACGCTCAGGAGGAGTCGGCTCCTGCTCTCATTCTTCTTCATTAGTCTGAGTCTGTAGGAGTTTGCTCAAACTGTGAGATCAGCGGACCTGAATGTTGAACTGAAGCAGAGCTCTTGTGAACATTTAGCCATTACATTTGTGACTCTAGGCTTTGATTTGAAGCGAGTGAGCAGGATGGCAACTCCATCCCTTCTTCTGTACATTGACAGGTAGGTGAATGAATGCTTGCACATTTGCAACAAGCTTTGCGATGCACAAAAGTTGCCGATTGTTGACTCCTGATTCTGATCAGTTATAAAAGGATGAGATCGCCTGCTAGTTTCTCCTCCGTAAGGTGTTTTAGAAAAGACGACCAGGAGCGTTCACATCACTGCAGTCCGACGTGGGGAAAAACTTGATGTTCTCTTGCCATCTTGTTCTGGCTTGTTTGGTATTTCCGTAACAATTGAACTCGCTGCCAGCTCAAGCATTTGAGCAATCTTATTCCCAGAAATCAGGGCTGTACACCAGCTCTGTCAACCTCTGAAGTTCTTGAGACTTGACAAATCTGAGCACAGATCCAACATACAACCACTTTTTCTGTCGGCCTCTGTAGCCATTCCACTTGAGCGCTCGAGCATAGCCGCAGCCATTCAGCTGTCACGTTGAGGCGCATTTGGCCCAGACTGAATGCAAATCGTTGTTCTTGCTTTGTGTAGGTTTGGATGGAGTAAACTAAAGCTCTACTGAAGAGCACACTCTCTGTTATGTCATTTTAGACTGTAAGTCAAGGCTCTTAGTTTAAAGGTGGCCATTGCCCTTTGACCCATGTTGGGTTGTTATGTCTTGGTTCAGAAGGTTACTCAAGTTCAATGACTGACAGTATCTGTCCTCTCCACCCTGAGGCTAAGAATAGCTCAGTTTACTGATAGTCCTTATCAGCATTTAAATCAGATTGATAGTTTCATAAAGTATCTGGCCTTGCTTTAGCTGCTGTCTTTTTTGGCTTCTTGCGCACATGGTATTCTTGCTTCTCTTTGGTGCCAGTGGAACTTCTTGACTTGGCAAATTCAACATCTCACAATGCTGAATTTGTATTCTGACTTTTTTAAGAGCACCAACTTGATGTCATAAAAGACAAACCTCTTCGAAACAAGTCACTTTCTGCCACTACCCGACCACAAATAGGACATGTTGATATATCTTTTGGGTCCCTCCTCCCTCATCAAACCTTACTCAGCAACGGAATGAGGAAATGCCTTGAGCTGCTGCTATTAGCTTCATGTGCTTTAGTTTAGCTAGAGCAGAGTGGAAAATAGAGCAGTCCGGTGTTAAATGTGTCGCTTTGAGGAATTTGGGGTGAAATGTCAGTAACCAACAGTACATATTCATGTAGAGGTGTCATACCTCACCTTTTACTAGGTAGATGTGATTGAACATGAAGTACAACTTGACACTTTGGCTGAAGATGCAGTGGTTGAAGAGTCAGAACACAAAACAGAAGGGGTCTTGTGTTTATATGTTGTCAAACTGAAAACTGAAAGTGTCGCCTCTCCCCACTGTTTTCACTTGTGAGGTGTAGTTGATGTCTGTTTGGCTGGTTTTTACAAAATACTATTTGAGGTTGTCTGAACAGCTGCACAGAGCACTGTATTGGAAAGCGCTGAATCCACTTCCTCTCAGCCACTCTTCTACTTTTCAGTTACTGTTGCTATTTGCTGTCAGCTCCAAAGAATAATAATTTTCTCTTCATTTTTATTTATCTCATCGTTATAGCTCTATTAGACCTTCTTTGACTCATAACTACTGTTTACAGCCAATTCAGATTTCTGTCTAAGAACTGTTTTATGTTCTAGGCTTTACAATTATTTCAAGACAAAATGTTTAGTTCTCATTTTAGCCTAGCTATAGCGTCCTATAGTAGTAATAGGGACAGTTAGCATTGCCAGAACAGCCATCATAGATTCTCACTGTAACTCTGTAGCTGTTTGCTGTTGCAATACTGCACACAAGTAAAGGCCAGCTTGTATGTAATATTTTGTTGGAGTATAATTTTATTTCAGGTAATGGAAAATTAGCACATTATGAACATAATGTTCTAGTGATCTTTCATCTTCAATGGTTCTCCAGGTGGATATTATGTTCTGTATTACACTGTAATAGTCAGTGTAATAATTACATCTTCAGTGTAATGTTTGTAATATTTGTAGGTTTAATCCCATTTTAATTCTTCTTACAAGAGACTACAAAAGAAAGTGCTGGAAATCCACTTCTGTACTGATGTTCCTTTAGGATTTCCAGTCATTGGCTGAAAATTATTTGGGATATCTTTTTATTATTATTATTAGACATCAAGTGACTGAGATATGTAATTACATTAAGAATGCATAATATACATGCATTAATGTTCTTGGCGGCCATTGTTTGTCATTCTTTTAACATACTGATATTGGTCTGATAACCACTGATGTTTAGAAGCTATGAAAGGGTTAAAGAGTAATCGGTTATTGGCTATATTAGCAGTGTTAATATCATACATTTTTGAAATGTTCATTTGAGTACATCCCTAATTTGCAGTTAAGCAATGAGAAACTCGAGTAGCCCTGAATAGAGTTGTATTATTTGTTTGACAACTGCAAACTACTTTTATTGTTGTACCATAACATTCCTATAATACTCAGTCGTAAACATTTTTATCAGCTTCTTAAACCTCAGACCTTGAACTGCTTGCGGCATAAACCAAACATTTCCTTATGTTTTCCTGGTTTGGTCGGTTATCACCTGTTAATGTGAACCAGCTGCCATCTGAACAAGCTCTCCAAATGAGATTTGCAGCACAAATAAACCATCATTATTAGGAGCCTCTAACATTACAAGCCATTATTTCTCCTGTCAGATTACATCAAGTCTATATTTGACCATATTTAGAGTCTATTGAGGCTTTTAATTGAACTGTCCCTGCAGCAGCTGCTGCTTATCTGCCTACAAATGATGGGATTAGTGAGCTAAATGGTGCAGTGAACCCAGTCTGGAAACAGAACCTCTGCCTTCCAGATGCACATGCAGGGGTTTGATACTTGCTAGTTTTGCATCAAGTGCAGTTTTTCATGAGGTTGCGCTTTCAAATCTGAATAAAATGTTTAGAGCGTTGCTGTCAAGACAATTAACCAAACTAAAATGCAATCGCTGGATAAGATGTGCATAGATCTGGGTTAGGTGGAAATAAATCATATCACAACATGGACTATTTTATATCATAATATATATCACAATATACTACAACTAACTGTGCTTTAACTTATTCCCTGAAAAATCTGACACGATATCATTGCTTACTCTTTTCCAACTTTATCTTGAAGTTAACTGTCACAAATGGGGAAAAATATATTTTAGTGTGTGCTCTGGGAAAAATGATGGAGAGAACGCTGCACTGAACCCGACTGAAACCCTCCTGTTTATTCCTCCAAATATTGATTTCTGAACTCTTCCTGAGCTGAAACATTAGTACTGTTGTTTCTAAATGCATATGAACTTGTTTTATTTGCATTATTTGGTGTCTGAAAGCACTGCACCTTTTTAGTTATTTTGATCATTTCTCATTTTCTACAAATACAAAATGTTTGCTTTGAATTTCTTAGACATGTCAGTAATTCACAGAATAAAAGAACATTAATTTTGCACAAACATTTATATACAAAAAGTAAAATCGGAGAAACTGATAATTCTAAGTGGCCTCTTTATTTTTTCCAGAGCTTTATATAAATCGATAAATGCTCCTTAAAAACAGAGAAATGATTAGTCACTTTTTAGAGTAATGGGTTCAATAAGCTTTTTACTATTAGTCTGAAAAATATATTTCTTCTAATACTTAGAAGAAATCTATGCATATTGTCTGATCACCAAAATTTATGAAAAGTCAAGATCTATCAGTCAGCTGACCGATTACCTTCTGTTCAGCTGACACTAACTCCACATGTTTGTCCAGAGACGAGTCTAGTGATATGACGAACATCATTAGCAAAGTATGTCTGACTTTTCTTCTCCAGTCTAATTCTCTTTCTTGATCCCTGCCTTCTCTCAGGAACCTGTTTGCCAAGAAAGTGAAGGACAGTAATCCCGCGGAGCAGAAAGATCCGGGTTGGAAGCTGTTTGGGAAGCTCCCGCCCCGGGAAGGCCCCCTAAAGGACCCCAAGAAAATCCAAAAGGTAGAAACGAAAGCTTCAGTGATCTCATGACTCTAAAGCAAGAAAGAAAGGCTTCACAACATTAGAGACGGTACATCTCTAAACCAGTAATGCCACACCGGTCTGAAATCAAATGTTTCTGCCATATGAATATTTTTCATACGGCAGAAAGGTATTCAACTCTATATAAAAACCTTCCATCTCTGTAATATAATTCTGTTATCCTTGGAGAGGAAATCCCTTCCACAACCCAACAATAGATTGTTTGCTTACTGGTTATTTGCTTTGCTCCCTGTTTGCTTAAGCTTTTCAAAGAGAACATGACCTTCCTGACTTTGCCAGAAAAGAAGGGCTTCTAAGGAATCTGTTTCAAGGAAAAGTAAATTAATACATTTTCATTTTACAACGGAGTCCTGACAAGCTTTCAACAAAGCCATTGATTTATTATTATATGTCCTCTGTGTCTGTGCTATGAATTAGATTTCCCAGGTCCTTGCAGTCAGCTGTGGTTTAGGCTGAGCTGCAACACTGTAATAATGTATCGACGTAAACCAGCAGCAGTGGTCTGTCCTCCCATATTGACTGAATTAGCTTGATGATGTCACTGTTTGCTTGTGGGCTGTAGCTTGAATAAAATCCCACAGCTGACTGATAAATCAGTTACATATTAACCCTTTGGACCTTAAATGGAGCCTAATAATGAAGAGGTCGCGTCTCTGAGTGAAATGAGCATGGTGTTCTGAGCAGAAACACCCACATCGGTGTCGCTGAAGCTTGACGGCTAATTTTAGGAAGCCACGTGCTGGAGAGCAAACAACCAACCCACTGTTTGTTTCGACAGTTCATAGAAACCTGCAAAGTGTTGGCCCAGCACAGGTTTCACTGTCACAGGAGGAAGCATGCAGTCAGGGGGTTTTGTGAGAGACTTTGTTTGGTTTGTAGATCAATTTCCCGTCATGCAGACTGAAATTGTAAAGTTCAAGAACTCATGAGGCACAAATATTAGATTTTTAAAGAAAATGCAAAAACTAATTTCACAATTTTTTTTTGTGTGTAACATGCTTAACAATCAACTAGACATGGAATCCATTAATGAAAGAAAAGAAGTAGTCTGATTTTGGTAGAAAATTGTTGTGTAATTATTGTTTTTGAAATATAAAATGGGCCTCAGACTTGAGTCCAAACTTGGGCCGGTTGTTCTTAAGAAGAACCGACTTTTGATCACTTTCTCAAAACATTCTTGAGCAATTTATCCACTGTTTGTGCCTGTCTGGGAATTTCGTACCATTGTAGTCAGGAAACCGTACAAAATCACTGAAAGGGCCACAAATGGTCTGACTTCAGGCTGCATTCACACTGGAGCCTAAAGTGACCCAATTCCGATTTTTTTTTTTTTACTTAATGCGACCTGTATCTGATCTTTACATGACGGTCTGAACAACACGGATCGGATTCTTTTCGAATGCGACCCAGGCCACTTGAGTATCCGATTCAAATGTATCCTAATGTCCAGGTCGCGTACATCCCACCTGAACGTCACTGATACTCGACAAAAGTCCTTATCCTGCGTCCTGATACGCGCAAGCGGGAAGAAAAACAACAACCATAGCAGACTGTAATGAGGATAAAGTTGTTAAAGTGCTGGCTTTGGTTGGAAAACTACTTTAAAATCGTAAGATATGCTACATTGTTAGCATCCATGTTTACGTCCGCAAACACGGAGCACTTCTTATTCATGGTGGTTGGCAAAACACCGAGTACTCTCTCTCTGTGTGACGTTATTGTGCCCTCTACTGCGCATGCGGGACACTTTCAGGTCGTCTGCAGAACTGGAGAACACATACAGGTTGCATATATTTGGATGTGCGAACGGCCACGACAAAAAAGTCCAATTTGACAAAAAATTGTAATTGGGTCACTTCAGGCTGCAGCGTGAATGCAGCCTTATTCATCGGAAGTCTGTGTTCTGTCGAGACACTAGAGTAGAGGTGCAAATATACTAAATCAAACATCTTCCACAACATTTTGAAATTATGAAAGAAGTGTGTGTGACTGGAGCTCATCACAGTCCCAGCACTCTTGGCTCTGACAGTCAGTGCTTCACAAAACTTACTTGTTTGTTCTTTTTTTTTTTCTTAGCTTCCTTCGTCTTATGATCTTGTGACAATACTGTTGGCTCCCATTCGCTGAACAACTTTAAAGATCGATCCATAGACGGCGACATTCATTTTTACTTCCATAAACAGAGCACTGCTGTGTGATGTCTACACTCTTCTTCTGCGCATGCAGGTCGCCTTGGGGTTGTTAACCGTTCACACAGAAGTCTGATTGCAATCGCATTTTGGTATGAAAGACCTGGTTAAAAAAAAAAAAATAATCTTATTTCAGCAAAAATTGCAATTAAGCATCTAGACCAGCTGTGAAACGCAGCCAGACATGTTGTTTGCAGTGCAACTTGGCCACTTAGCTGTGTTGTCTCACGTTAGAAAGAAGAAAAAATGTAGTTGTCAGATTAGACTGGTTGAGCCTGTCTACTTCAGAATCAGCTGATTCCCGCCACCAGCTGAGCTGTTGTTTCGTCTCTGTTTGTAATGCAGCATATTCTACTAGTGCCAGCGCTCTGTTGTATTTATTTTCACTCCGTTCCAAGTTCCTTTGAGGTGTTGCTGAAAGCTTCTCAGCCTCCTGTTGGGAGGCTGAACTGCCTCTGTATAATCTCCTGCTGCTAATCACATGGGAAATGGTCTCAGGCCCGTTTATAGCACAGCTCTTGACAAGTAAAATGCATCAAAGAAACGGATTAGTGTGTAATTAGGGGGGTGAGGAACCACTTGTTTTGCTTTCGTTTGTTCTCTGGGTGACACTAGAGGCGGAACAATCGCTGTTTAATTCAGTCCTGGCTGCAAAGCTCAGTTACATCTTTAAAGATCGATCCAGTGCCTTACAAAGACTTTCCTTTGACTTTTTAACATTAAGTCATATTACAGGAAAGGCTGGGAAATATAACTGAAAAATAAAATCAGATTTTTTTTTTCTTTCATACCAAATTCAATTTCCAATTTAATTTTTTTCTCTAAAAATAAAATACAAATGACAAAAAATATCTTCAAAAACTGGCTTTTAGCACCTCTCATATTACTTTTCAGTGGTTTACAGTGGCCTGTGTGGGTGTTAACATATGGGCATGTGCACACTGACACATGTGCTTCCTATCTCATCTCTGGTTGTAACCCTACACTCCACTGCAAGATTGGTTAACGCTGCTCAGATTTCAGGCTTCTGTCCTGCAACGCCGGCTGTTTTCAAAGATGAACTCATTGCACTGTGTTTAATGCCAAAGCTCTAATTCAACAACTATAAACAACTCTGTTCTTTTGACTAGCCATATTTTGTCTTACACCAAGTGAAAATATCCCACAATGGTTTTGTCTTTAAAGGGGCAGTATCATGTGAAACCGACTTTTGAGCTTTCCATCATATTGTAATTTTATTCCCTCATCAAAAACATATCTGGAGTGTTGGCTTCATTCGCTCATGAATGTTTGAGAAATTCTTGAATCTCCAGGGTAACCATTCAGCTGTGCAAAACCCCTGGATGGACCTAACTCCACCTCCTCAGATGAAGCTCCTCCTCTGAGCTTCAAAGTTTCCGCCTCACAGAGCATTCTCCCCCCCACCAATCAGCTCCTTCAGACTAGCCAGAAGCAATTAGTAAACACCTGGTGAACACATGCTGAGCTCATTATTGGAGACACTCCTCAGTGCGATGCTGGTAAAAACATTGCTAAAGGGCTAATGGTGATGTTTGATGACTTCCTGAAGGAGAAGTTTCAGAAAGAGTAGGAGTTTCTTAAAGAGACAGAGGCCCAATTTAAATCTGGAAGTAAAATGTATTTAAGTCACTTTATTGTGCTATAAAATGGCACATTAACAGATGACGTTGCCCTTTTAAAACATAAAATAACACATTTGAAGGAAATGTTCTTGTTCTTGTTCTTTGCTTGAGAACAAGAACAATGGGGACAATGTTTCTAGGGCAGCAGATAAGGAGACTGCCGGTGCTCAGTCGGCCTCGACCGGACTGGGAGAGCCGAGGTGAAACCCGATCCGTTACTCTGGGCTTGATTAGCTGGACTGCCAGAGATGAGACGAGCGCAGAGCCTTTCGTTGCAGACACGCAGACCAACAGCGCAAGGCAGGGCTGATTCTGCTGACACACACACAGCAGCCGAAGACCTGATGCAGAGTGGATCATCGTAGCGTCACTGCTCAGACAGAGAGAGAGAGAGAGTGGGGGGGGTGTTGAGTGGATCATAGGGTGTCCTGCCCCTGCTGCTGCATCCTTTGCAATGCGGGGTGTGTCTCTCCATCGGCAGCCTGCCTGTCCCTCTGCCCTGGGTGTCCTGTTACCAGGAGTGAGCCCTGCCGAGCAATCGTGATGCTACGCTAGGCTACCGGAGAACTGTCCATCTGCAAGGAACCGTAGCGTTCATGGTGAGTGAAGTAGCCGCTGAGCTTTTTTTTTCCCCCTGACCCCCACCGAGCGACCGTCTCCTTGTCTGGCTGAATCAGAGGACATCGGTTAGCTGCAACATAAAAGAGCCTGTACAGAAGGAGGATGACTCCGGTTTCACATAATAGCCTCGCCGCTTTGTGTGAGCGGAAGGCGATGATGATAACTTCTCCGTTTCAAGATGGATAAAGATGTGTAGCATTGGTGGAGTGCTGAGCTTTTTCATCCTGACACGAAGCTTTCAGCTGCGCATCAAAAACACGTGCAGCAGGGTTCCACCACCAGCTCTCTTCTCTTTGATGCACTCGTAGGATTTCCTCCTGCAGTTAAAGAGATGCAGCTCATTTAACTGTTGATTCCATGACCGTTTAATTCCTCTTTCCAGTCAATGTTTGGATGAAATGGATTGCAGGAAATCCCCGTGTTTATGCCACTGGCTGTAGAGCTGTCCATTGAGGTGCTCTGAGACCTCTTCCTTGTTTGCTGAAATCATTGCACCCATGATCGT